TAGTAGATGGAGCAATGTTGGTTCATCGCTGTAGTTAAGCTGCAAAACAGATTTTAAAAAACAATTTCTAGAGCTGAAAGAACTTCTAAAACTTGGTTTCTTGTGATGTATAGTCAAGATAGCAAATAATTGAACTAATGAGCACCATCTGAGTTTGTTCTATAAAATTTGGGACAAATTGTTTTGTCTAGCCCATAAAGCTGTGCCAAGTGCTTTGTAAAAGTCAGGCTGGTGTGATATCTGTTCTAAATGAGATATAACAGACGGGGCTAGGGCAAGAGAAGATCAGATAGTTTGGTCTCCCCTCCTGTAACTGCCAGGCAGTTTATTTACACTGTTTAGAACAATATCATTCAGACCAGTAGCAACAGGTGTAACTTACTCTGTTGATGGGCAGGGATGATTTAACGTTGGATGGTGGATGAAGTTATTGCCTTCAGTGCACAAAACTCTGAGCCAGTCGGCTCTTGGTCTGTCACAGTTCATAGTGCAGTATAAAGTCTGTGGCTGTTTATCTGAAAAAGATGATAAAGTGGTGTAAGCTGACTGATAACCACCTCGGATGTGAACGCTTCAAGGGCAAGGTAGGCAGCAGGAAGTAGAAACCTCATCAGTCAACACAAGTCGAGTTGTCCTCTGCAGTCAGTAAGAGCTCCTAGATGGTTTTTCAAGGGACATTAAAAACCAGATTTTCCAAAGTCATCGATGTTGGCATAACTCTGGGACTGTTGAAGTCTGTGGTAAAAAGACAAACAACTCCCCTCCCACACACACCAGTGACATCAGTGGCAGTAGGATTAGGCCATGCTAAGTATTTTCAAAACTGTGGTCTTGATGTCTGTGGGGCATTCTTTTTACCTGTGTTTTTAGTGCTTCCCAGTGGATTCCTCTTGGATCGGTCAACAGTTAACTTTCCTCTGGCGAAACCCTTGCAGCTTCGTTTGGCTTCTGCCTCAGACAAAGGCAGCTGAAGCTGCTCAGTTTTCATTACCTTGTCCTCTGAACAAGGTGGTGTTGAATTTTGCTCTCCCTTGCTCTGGGTAGAGCTATGAAAATTAGATTTCTGGAGTTCAAATTATTCTGCCCTAAGTTGGCAACAGAGACTGGCAGCTGTAGTCTGAGACTGGTGGGAAGCCTCAGTGTCTGTATTTATTGTCACAATATGGGTGCAGAGTGGGCATTTTCCCTTCTTTGATCCTCCATCTATCCCTCTGTTCTTTTCCCTGTTCCTTTGCTTCTGTAGTACAGGAATTTTCCTGTTCATGCAGTAGGGTTTTTTTACCTTCCATCTCTCTTCTGTAAAGGATCTGGGGGAATCTCCTTTGAGTTGCACGGCAGAGATCCGAGTTATAGGCATCTTGCCTCTTAGTTCTGATATATAAGACTCTAGAAAATGTGACAGAATGTTGTTTCTCCTGAAACCACAGAGCCTCTGTTTCCAGAATCCTTCCCAGCCTTCCTGCTTTGTCCAAGATGCTTGTCAGGCGAGAGAGCAAATGCCTGTATAAGCGAGATGCCTTCCGTAGAGCGGAAGAGTAGTGAATGCTCAGTTTAGTGCCAAACTATTCTTTTGTAATTGCCTTGTCATCCTCATTTCTAGGTACAAGCTCAACCCCAAACTGTGACACTTTCTCAGACGACAGCAGGTCAACAGCAGGTTCAGGTGATTCCTGCAACAACTGCTACTGCTCAGGTCGTCCAGCAGAAGCTGATACAGCAGCAAGTCGTGACAACAGCATCTCCCCAGATTCAGGCTCCAGGTGTACAGAATCCAGCCCAGACACCAGCAACATCTGAAGCCCAGAATCCACAAGCAAAAGTACAAATGAGGACGCCTACTGTCAGATTAAAGGCACCCACTAAACCCAGTTGAACTAATGATTAAAATGCAATAACAAGGAAACACAGCATTTCTTGTTTGCTAAGCCAAGTGAGAAGCTACTCCAAACATCCAAATGAAGACAAACCACCTCTATTTTTTTTTTTAGCAGAAGGTTTTTTGCTGGTGAACATTTAAACATGGAAACTCTCATATAACTTCAGCATATTAGCAACCGTTTAGCACCTGAAATCTGTACAAGATGCATTCTGCCAGTGTTCTCTGTGCTCATTTAAACCAGATAAAGCAAACATTACTTACGTCTAAATTCTGCCCAGCTTCACAAAAGTAGAACGGTAATATGCCATAAATGTCAGTAAAATTCATCTGTGTTAGCATACCACAAACTGCCTGTGGGAATGTGCAGTTCTTTGCTATAGTTTGGACGTGCGCTCAATATCCGCAGTGAAGCCATTCAAAGAACCAAGTGTGGCCAATATAGCAAAGTATTTTCCATCTGTATAAAAGCTGCGTGTTGTTCTCATTTGAGGTAAATACCTCTGGAAGATCTAACACATTTGGAGTGCTCCCTGCAAAGTTTAGCCAATAAATGTGAAAACCTGTAAGTACATGTAATTAAAAAAGGAAAAAAAAGTTTCATTCTCCATTTTTGTAAGTCTTTTAAAATGTTTGTTAGTAGTTTTGTGTACAGTTTACTGAATCACCCAACCTGTGCGCTCATTCTCATCTTTCACTTTAAGATAATGGGTATTTTAGGCATGAACTGAGTAAATACTGTGTTGATAGTAGATGTGTATTAAAGTGTAGCCCATTTTTTTTTTTTGTAAAAGAATTGTTTGGTGGATACAGCTGAACAAATGATCCGTAGCTGTTTCTCACGGGACTTCCATCAAGGAAAATCTCCAACTGATAAAATTTAATCTCTCAGTTTAATTCTGCTCTTGCAACATGTTTAAATGTTCAGTACTTTCTACTCTGCTTTCAGCTCGGG